GTGCTGGTTCAGGATGTACATATGATTCAGATTGTGTTTGGCACTTGAGAACGCTATGGAAAAGAGCTGCTTGTTGTACCCTTAGTCCTGCTGAGAGGTACAAGTTTTCATGTGTGTGAATGTTCAGAAAACCAACAAGAGTTAACGTTATCACCTCACAAGAAAAGATGAAGAAGTTTGAAAGAGAAAAAGAAACAAAAAAAAAGATACAAAGAAAAAGAAAAACTAGGGAGCACACTCACGTGGATAAGGAAGTGAAAAACCCACCAGGATTGATGAAGGTACAACAGTGTGAAAGCTAGCCATAAAAAGACTTTTGAGTCCACCAGATCGGAAAATCTACAAGTCTCATATGTGCAGCTTGAACTAGGTGCTGAGTCAGATCAGGCATATCATATTCTAAAAGGTACAAAATCAATTCTACTTTTTCAAAAGATTATTCAAATTCAGGCCAATTGTGAACTGTTGCACGTGTTTAATTGCTACTTTGAAAGTCTTGTGATACATTGAAATTCTAGGATGTGGTTGTTTTTGCTAATGGTTTGGATGAGAGATATTAAAAGTGCAGGTTACAAACGGAAAAGTGAACAAGTATAGGGACCAGATGTGCAATTTCGGTAAAGGCTGGTTGAGTTTCCCTCTTAGTGGAGAGAGTGGGATAAAACCCTAAACAGTTTCAAGCTTCTACAAACCGAGTCCATCTCTCCACTTCCAAATCATGCTCATATCTATCTTTCTCTGAAATGGTGAAGACAAAGCAGACAACCGCAGCAACCTCCTCTGACAGTCCAGCCGTGCATGCAGCCTCTGAGTCAAATCGGCCTCAAATATCTGACGGAGAATCTGAGCCATCTCCGCCTCACAACAATCCTGCTCCATCAACGAATCTTCCTAAAGTCACTGAGGAGCTTGAATCGTTCAACACCGCGAACGACAAAGCTCAATCAGAAGAAAGTGATGAGCTTCACAGTACTTCGCACCACAAAGACTCGATTCTCGAGACATCTCCCGTACCTGCGACAGCGACTACCCCAGAGGACACCATACCAAAATCACCAGCCTCTCCTAATGCGTCTGCCCCAGCGGAGACACACACTGAATCTGGATCTGAGGCGAAAGAAGCTGACCCAGAGGAGAAGGAAGACGGATCTTAGGACCGGGAGAATCTGACCTTGGTGGTTGCTCAAAAGGCCGAGGAGTTGAGTTCGACATCTGAAGGAACCCCAACAATCAAAGCAAGGAAGAAGAGAGTTCTGAAAAGGTTGGGTCTTCCGGTCTCAAAGAAAACCAAGACCGGCAAAGACAATGCTCCTACACCATCTCAGGATGTTGCAAATCCTCCCAGCCTCACAAAGGAAGCCACTGTCTCTGATCGTGTGAAATCCAGAAAGAAGGGAGGTCATAGTGCTTCAGCTACTACACCACATGACCAAGAAAAGGTATGATCAGTTTGCGGGCCATAGTTTCATTGTTGAACGTAGTGTTGATGTAGAGGAACCATATCAGTGGGGGTATGTTGATATTATCAAAAAGGGAGGCATGGTTTCTACTGTGACATCACTTGTGAGCTATGTAGAGCAGGTGGTGGCTGAATTTTATGCAGGTCTACTGAGTGTTAAGTTGGAAGATGATGACTGTCAGGTTGAGGTACGAATCAGAGGCCAAGTGTATCAGTTCTCTGCTTCAGTCATCAACGAGTATCTTGGCCTCTCACCATTGTCTGAGGAAGAAGCTGACATGGAAGAGACCATTGATGCAGTCACAATCACTGAATTAGCTGAGTTCTTGACTGAGAAGACCAAGAAGACATGGACTAACCTGACCACCACCGATCTCTCACCTCGCTATGGGGCCCTGATGATCGTTGCAGCACATAATTGGATTCCCTCCACACACAAGACACATGTGTCAGTTGATAGGGCCAAGCTGATTTACAAGATGGCTCATGGTGTGAAGGTTGATTTGGGGAGCTTGATCTTCAAACAGATCATGAATCTGGGAGTGATTCAGCGCAATGATTCTCGGTGGTTGATTTTTCCTCGTCTCATTATGGGAATTCTCTAGAAGCAGCACTTCCTTCAGCCAAAGAGTGGTGAGAAACATGTTCGCCCGGTGCCCTACAAGAAGGACAAGCGTGTTGGAGAAAACTATGAGCTCCTCAAAGCTAAGGCAAAGGGTAAGGGAAAGACATCACCTACTCTGGAGGTTCGCACATCTGCTTGCTCAGTTTGTCCTTCCCCTGCTCCTACACCACCAACTTCAAGTGGCAAGACTGGTCCTCGAAGGGTCTCCGTGGTTGAGCTGGGCACTATCATGGTTCCTCAGGGTTTGATCACTCTGGTAGAGCTTCAGGAGGCACTTCACGACACGGCCAAGGCTCTGCAAGCATTGACTGATATCGTGGCTGATCTCTCTCGCTCGGCGTCTGGTCAGTTTCCTTCTCACTTTGTTGCATCTCCTTTAATTTTTCCATGTGTTTTTAACCTGTGTGCTCACAAGCAGGGGGAGAAGATTGAGATGAAGGCTAAGATTGTGGGGGAGCAATGATGTTGTTTATTTTTTTGTTTGCACTGTACTCGTCGGTTGCACCACTTGCTGCAACTGGTTTTGATTTCTGGTTTAAGACAATTCATAGATTATGGGGGAGTACTTATGTGTGTTATCTTTTCGGAGATGTATTAAGTATGTGAACCTCTTGTGTTGGAAATTTAAGTACTTTTTCTTACATTAATTATTCTCTCGAGTTGTTCATTGTTGTATTCATCTCAGGTACTTGTGAGACGCACATATTCAAAAGGAGGAGATTGAAGATGCATGGTGTAGATGGAGCTGAAGTAGTTCATGAAGCACGACATGAACTACTGAGAGAAACGCGGAGTCAAGAGAAGAGGAAGAAAAAGGAAGGAGACTTTAATGAAGATATGAGGATACTCTTTATGGTGGGCTTTAAATAATAGAAGTGAAGAGGAAGCAACCGATCTAGAAAGAGGAAGGTTGTCTTATTTACTGTAATGGAAAATGGAAAGTTTCCATTAAGTAGAACTTAGGGTTTTCTCTCTAGGTATAAAGAGAGGGTCGACTCGGTTGTAGTCGGCCAACACACTGGGAAAAGCTTTTGGCAATAGAGAATTTTGTGAGTCCGAGTAAGGTGAGACAAAAGTCTAAGGGTTAGAAGTTATTCAACGACTGTGGTAAGTCTTGAATAGATTAGGCTAGTCAACAAGTCAATGTTGTCTTGAGCTTGATGGAGAATTGCTTTTAAAAGATCTTGTAAGAACGTTTTAAAAAGATTTATCTAATCGTATTTTCTTAAGAATAATAATCATGTCTTACTGTGTGTTCTAGTTTCTGTATTGCACTACTCTTACACTTTCAGAATTTAGTCTAATTATCCATTGTGTATTCACAAATTCTGTGTATTGAGCATAGATGAATCAGAATGTATGAATCCATAGTGGATAACGAGATTATATTCATTCACCTCTATATATTTTTCTACATTAAAAGAAGTCTACTATAAATGTGAATTTCGCTTAAACACTTTCATTGGAGTTTGAGTCTTTCTTGAAACAAAAGCACAGCTACATAAGAAGTTTAAGTTTAGGTTTTTTACTTGGTATTATGATAAGGCGATTCGACTATAACTTGACATTACTCGAAAAACATTTCAAAGTCATGTGAAGTAGTGTGGTGGTCCTTCATAGAAAAATTGATGTTGTAACACAAAATGCGTTTTTATCGAAGCTAACCTAACCAATCAATGAAATATAAAAAAAAAATAGGGATATACACAAAACATGCTATTTGAATTTAGAATTGTTTAATATACTAAGCTGATAGAGTATATTAAAAGAATACATAAGATGCAACATCGATATCAAAACTGACGAATGAGATTAGTTCAAACCCACTTCTATATATTTTAGCAAAAATAAAATTTTCTATTGTATTAGTGATTTTTGCTCTAATGTATTTCTATACAACAGAGAAATGTTATTTTAAATCGATATATAGAAATGAGTTGAAGATGCTATGAGTAAAGACATATTAGAAGTTATCAATTAGAAATAGTTACCTTATCTTTAAGGAATATTCCTATGCATGTAGATAACTTTCTTATTTACGGTTTATATTTCTATTTTTATTCCATAACAGTAGGTGTATCAAAGATTGAAAAATAATGTAGCGAAAGACAAAATAAACAGGGAGATAATGTTTAGAGTTATTCTTGGGTTCACCCCTAGATTCACCATCCAATAGGATTGCATCATTTCATATTTGATATTTTAAAAAAAAGAAACAAAATCTTGTTAAGTTATATTATGTTTTTAGAAATAAAAATACAAAAATAAATAAATAATAATTAATAAAATAGAATTTTTTTTTTTAAAAAAAAATAAATTTTAAAACTAAACCCTAAACTCTAATCCTAAACCCTAAACCCAAAACCAAAACCCTAAACTTTAATCCTAAACCCTAAATCCCTAGGTATATCATAAACTTTTGGTAAATTTTATAAAAAAAATCTTTTAAAAAAATCTTTTCACTAAAACACTAAACCCTAAACTCTAATCCTAAACCACAAATCCTTGAATAAATCATAAACACTAAATTTTTATATATTTATCTAAAGGTTTGTGATTTACCTAGGATTAGACTTTAGAGTAGTGTTAAAATATTTTCTTTAAAAATAATTATTTTCATCTTTATTAATTATTAATTATTTTTTTGTATTTTTATTATTAAAAATATAATATAACTTAATAAGATTTTGTTTCTTTTTTAAAAAGATATCAAACATAAAATGATGCAATTCTATTAGATGATTAACCCAAGAATAAGTCTAATGTTTATATTAGCAGGGAGTAACCAAGATGATTATCAAAATATCAAGTTGTGTATTATAATCATATGTAATATGATCGTTGGTCGGAAGTCTATTGGGTGCAGAGGACTGGCTGGTGAATTGGTTTTTGGAAGATGTATGTGTATGCAACTATGCATTATGTATATGTTGACTTCATCCTTAGATATTATCTTCGTTCTTATAAACTGAACTTAATAATGATTATGAAGAAAATAGTACACCATCATTATTCTCTAAATAATTAATTACTTTGGTTAATTTCTCGTAACTAAAGAACAAAATCATTTAATTTGCCGGTGGTGCCACATTTTACCAAAATATTAAGGGCAAAAGAAGGTTAAAGAGAAGGCCGTTCATACGAAAAGGTTGAGCAACTTTGTTGTTTCTCCTCCTCCGCGTACGAACCTTTCACCGGCCATGTTGTCCATAAACGGCGTCGTCGTAACGGATTCCCCTGAGTACATAGACGGTGTTTCCGGTCGAAGCGTTTCTTCCTTGAGCGGTGTCGTTTTGATCGGAAAAGTAGAGAGCAGAGAGAGATCTAGCTCCGACGACTGTAACCGTTTCCTTTTAGGCGCAGAAGCTGTAGTTCTTGATCTTGAGCTCGAGAAGCGGCAGTGGTGGTAGATGTCCCGGTCACCGGAGTCATTCAACATCTCCGTGCAGATCTCCGATGCTTCGTCGGAAGTTGGAGACGGAAAGCCACCGAATCCGCTGTGACTTGCAAAAAGCTCCGGGATCGGTTTTAAGGAACCGCCGCGAAGAACCGTCTCAACCGCCGCTTGACAGAGATTCCAGTTCCCCGTCCACAACAACCCCACGGCGCCGTTCACCGGATTCACAGTTCTTCCGCAAGCTTCGTAAAGTAAAGACTGGAACAAAGCTGAAAAATAACCCTAAGTCGATCAAAAAACGATGACGTTTTCAAGAAAACAAACAAACAAAAGTACCAAAGTTTGGTTAAAGTACCAGGGGATTGAGATTCCGGTACGGAGGAAATAAATGACATTAAACCGGCACGGCCGAAGAATTTAGCGACGAAGACAGTGGCGTGGCCTTGAGATTCGGCGGATTCGATCCATTGGATACAAGGACGGAGGATGCAACTCTCGCTGCAACCTTTTCGAAGAACGCGACAAGCATTACAACTCATACTTAAATGTTCTCTTAAGTTTGCTATTATCTAGGAAGATTCACATGAAATTTGAAGAAGATTTACTTTGAAATCAAGAAAGAGATATTTGCGCAGAGATGAGAGAGAGAGAGAGACAGAAGAGTTTCAGTTTTATTGATGATGAAGCAGACCTATGTTTATTATATAGACATATTGATTGAGCATATACTTGAGTAAAGGAATGAGTCATACTAAAGAGTTTATTTTTTAATTTTATCGCAAATGTTGAAGTAATTTTGTTACAGAATGGGTAACTTATTACCAAAGATTATATTACATAATTTTGTTATTATTTTCGGCATATTTAATAGTAAAAACTGATTATTTTAAATTAAAAAGTTCATTATCAAACCGAGTAAGAACAAAAATTAGTGTTATTCTATTTAAATAAAAATGAAAAGAGTGGTATGTGCTTGTTGACTAGTTGGTGATGAGGAGAGAGAATAGAAAAAGTTAGATTCCAAGGTGATGGGTGCGAACGGCTCCGTGTCTCCGCGAATAGTTATGCCTCCTCAACCATTGGTTCTTTTTATTCAAAAGTAATACTATTGTTTTATCAATTTCTGCTCATTTAGAAAAGTTCATATAAATTATTGCGTCATGCGTGAACGATCTCGAGTATTCGATCACAATTGCCAAATTAAATAACTTTTCTACGTGTCCAATCATTTTGCTGGTTGACAAATTTTAGTAGTTTCAAGTTTTTAATTAAGCCCAGTTACAAAAAGAGTTTTTCATTAATACAACTTTCTCAGCCGAAATTCTGAGATTTTAGCATAGATTCTCAAATGCAATGGCCTGCTTAAAATTCGAAATTGATACTTAGTTTTAACGTATTCATTTCTCTCAAGTTCGTTTTTCTTAACGTCTATTCGTTAAACTAAATTTGCATTCTTAACTACCCAATGTAGGGTTCATGAACGTAGACTTTGTAAACAATTTATTTAATTTATCAAACCTATTAAATTATGTTGTTTAGGGTTAACCGGTCAAGTCGAAGATGACCCTTCAGTGAAACAAATGCACTATCTGGCCCTTAAATCATCCTTACGGGTTTTGATAGTGTTTTTAGATTTGTTTTTGAAAAAAGGATAGGCTTTTGTCGACGATGTTATCTCAATTCTCAAGTGCGTAACCAAATCAAACATTTCTTTTCTTTTTCTTTTTTTACATTAAAAGCATATATATATATATGTATGTATATACTAGTCTTTCACTATACAAAAGATTTATGTAATTTGATATTTTAATTTTAGTTAATGCCTTTTACTTTAAATTAAAATTTGAATTTAAATGTAAATATGTAAGTGATTGAATTTTATTGAAATTAAAATAAGACTTTAAACTAAGTAAAAAACATTAGAAAGTAATACTATATAAGAGTAAATAGTTTTCTCTCTCTTATTATGTGTGTGAACAACCTTAAATTCTACACAAAACAATATTTTATTTTATTTGTTTTAGTTTTGGTAATTTATTATATTAGTTATTTATAACTGCCTCATTATATCTATTTATTAAAATTTGGTAAACTTATATATCCCTTGTTTATTTCTAAATTATATACTTATTTATTTTAAATTTTAACTGAAAATAAAATTGTCTACATGTAAAACATTTTATTTTCTTACAATTTGAAGTAAATGATATTCATTTTTTTATATTATTAGTTAAGAATATAAATACAATAGTATTTTAATGTTTAGTAATGTGAAAGTAAAAAACAAGTCTGTGATATATTTATTTAACTATAAGTTAACATAATTAATAAAACTAGTCTATCTGTAATAAAATAAAAAAGTAAGAAAATATAATATTTAATATTTTGTGTAACACTTATTCACACTATGTTAAATTTGGTAGAATAGTGTCATTTTTTGTTGAGAAATTGTCAAAAATAACACTTTCAAGATACCACTTTTCAACTTTACACCAACCAACTTTACCATTAAAATTTTAAAAGTCAAATTACTATTAGAATTTAGGGTTTAGGGTTTCGGGTTTAGGATTGATAGTTTAGGGTTTAGTGTTGATTTTTTAGGGTTTAGGGTTTACTTTTTAGGGTTTAGAGTTTAGGGTTTAAGGTTTAGAATTGATATTTTAGGATTTAGGGTTGATTTTTAGGGTTTAGTTTTACTTTTTAGGGTCTAGAGTTTAGAATTGATGTTTTAGGGTTTAGGGTTAATATTTTATTTAATATTTATTTTATGTATATATATATAAAGAACAAGAATATAAAAGTCTTTTATCCTTTAATAAAATGTGTATTTTTGAAAATGTTTTTTTGTTTATGGTAAACATGAAAAGTGATACCACCAAAGTGGTATAATTGAAATTCTCCCTTTTTGGTTTCTCATAAGAAATATAATTAAATTTGGTGTTTTAGTATTTCATTTGTTAGCCTTATTAATTTTAAAACTGAATAATTTATTGAACTCCTTGATAAATAATCATATATTTAGAAAATTAAACAATCAAAATCCAAAACACTGAACGCCCCAAATTTATTAAGAACAACATATCTCTATTATTAAAAGAGAAGTACCCACTAAAAAATACCCCTAAGTTTTCCAACTTATTTACACTCATATGCCACTGAGAATTTAATTAAACTTCCTATTTAAATGCTTGTCTTTTTCAGTTATATTAATTAAACATCCTATTTAAATGCTTGTCTTTTTCAGTTATATTAATGAGTTATTTAATCAACCAAAAAATANGAGAAATATAATATTAACTAACACACAATATAACATGTGCATGTATTAACTATATTGGTTTATATAATGTATTCTACGGTATAATAACGTCACTGTTAAAAAGTAATATAGAGATAACTCTAATTTCAATATCAAATCGGATTACCAATCATATACACATATTCAAACAGCTAATGCCCACAAGATTCAAACAGCTAATGCCCACAAGATTCAAACAGCTAATCCGATTACCACCTATCCATTTTCTAAATTATTTTTTTTTAAAACAATTGAATAAATAGAAAATCAAAACAGAAAATCTTATCTCTATCATAACAGAAATTTTTGCAAGATCTAATCCGATTACCATCTATCGATTTTCTAAAAAAAAATAAAAAAAAAACAATTCAATAAATACAAAATCAAAACAGAAAATCTTATCTCTATTATAACAGAAAGTTTTGCAAGATCTTATCCTTAAATCAATATCATATCCAAGATTTTCGCATCATAAGCATATATTTAATTTCAACCTGATTGGTCTATAATTTCGGTAACTAATTTTCTTGCGGAAGAGGAAACAATAAATTCAAAATCTAATGGAATATATAGATTGAACCAAATTCCTATATTCGGGTATATTTTCGAAAGAAATAGAAAAAACCGGTTTTAACATGGGTTTCAATAATGTGGGCTTTCAACATATTATTTTGACACAGAACAAATGATCAGAAATAATATATTATTAATATAATTATGAAATAGTTTAGATTGGGATGACCAAATTTTAATCTGTTTTTATATGTTTATTTTTATACAAATTTACAAAATCTTTTTATTTTTTTAAACATGTTAAACTAACTTTTAATTTTTAGGCATATTGAGTCATAATATAATTTTTAAAATAATTTGGGGTCATTTCCATTGTCTTTATATATAGTATACAATTCTCTAATTAACTATATATGTTTAATTTTTTTATATGATATCGAAGATTGATCATACAATAGATGGTTTAACATGCCAAAAATATTATATGCTAAGTGAATATAATATGATCAAGTATTACAAGTACATCATTTAATAAAATAAATAATCAACAACCGGAAAAT